AATGTTGTGTTCACCCCTAGAACTGAGTGTTGTAAAAATGTGTATATTCTATACGACTATACCTATATAATAATATGTACGATGTGTGCATTGTATGTGTGCGCGGTACGCGTAATAATATGTTGTAATATGTATATTGTATGGCTTATCGTCATTAAGTAACTTTTATGTATAATGTATTACCTGTTCTATAGTTATATAATACGAGTGTTAGCATAACCGTTGAAATACTTTGAAATATACTCGATATGCAGTTTAGTATAATGTCATTTTTAGTAATTATGTTTTTTAGGTAGGTATATATTATATACTAATATACTTACCCATATATGTAAAGTGATGAATAGTATAAATCATTAAAAAAATGTTTTATAAAAATGTGATGTGTACGTATATTATTGCCGTCATCAGTATTATAATAATACAACATTTAGTTATTTAGTTAATATTATTATTAAAGCTTACGACGTATCCGGAATAGTTCGAACAGTTCAGTTGAATATATTTAAGGGGGGTATAATAATATGTACCTATAATTATATTTTTAAACAGAATATTTGGGTCGGTCAAGTCAATGGCAAAACTGTGTTTAGGTCTGTTATTTATAATGGTGAATGTATTTCACGCGCGTCGGTTAATATAATATTATAATGACGTGCGTTCCTCATTTAAATTTTTAAAAAATAAAAAAGTACTAAAAGCTAAATGTATAGGTAGGTATACACATTTGCTATAGAAAACAAAATTAACATATTATTGTTATTTTTTTGGCAATCATTATTTTTGGAAAAAAGATTCTTTTATCTTTTAATTTAAAATAGTCTTTTACAAATTATTTATTACACTAAACACAAAAAATCTATTAATATATAATTTTATTTTTACATTAAAAAATAAGCTTTAAATTATTATTTAATATTTTTGTAAATAACAATAATACAATAATAATATTAAACTTTAAATTATTTTATAAACGTTTTATTTGTGAATTTTATCTATTAAAAAAACATACCATCATCAAAATATTTAACAGTAAGAAAAATATAAAATATATAAAGCCTACTTAGTAACGAAGAGTTATTTTATTATCCAATATCTTTTCCGAATTCTTTAATTATTAGTAATCGCCAATCATTCATTTAATTTAAAAAAATATCTAATTTATACTAAAAGTTATTTTAGGATTAGTCGAACAATTAATACATTGAAAATTAAAATTTTAGTTTTAATTCTGTTACATAATCAAGCATTTCTTTAAAAAATCCTGTTTGGTAATGATATATGCTGAAGTTAAGAAACGTATTATTAAAATATAAAATATATTAATACAAAATGTAAACAGTCGAGATTCGGACTTTTTTAGAAAAAAAATAAGAATTTAAGCTCATACCAAGGTACATTTAACTTGAAATACGTTGTACATTTGTTGTGCATAAATTGGCATTAGTAGAAGTATATTATTATATGTACTTATATAAATATATATTATGTACATATAATATAGGTTAGGTTATTTTTGTATAGGTTAAATTTCGTTGCAAATCTCGGAAAAGAAGTATAATATATGTATATTAGTCGAATATAAAAAAAAATAAAACATGTTAGTCATTAGTTCAATTGTAGCGGTAGATCTGCTAGCTCTATATTATGTCTTGTTTAAATTTTTTTTTACTCTTGAAAGACCTTCGACTTTTTACACGTCGTAAACACGACGAAATAACCCGACAGCTGCCTGTCAGTGCGTGCTGCAGCGGAATGATGACGATATGCGTCTTCTATACAACTCGACTGCTGCAGCGCGTTTCCCAAAAGGGAGACCCGGTGGGGTCAAAAGAATTGGCGTCACGTGTTAATCATTTAAACGCACAAGTTGGTTTTTATTTTATTCCGGTATTTTACGTCGTTCAAGTGGAGTTTCTGTCTTGCGCCGGTGGTATTTTTTCCCTTTTCTTTTTAACATTATTTTTTTGTGGTTTTAATACTATACATCCTGTGGTTAATCGAGGCTGAGAGAAAATGCCTCCAAAAATAGAATAACATATAATATTGTTATTATTATTATTATTATATACTGAGTATATAGGTATAGTTAACGCAGATACGAACGACCCGCCACCGTTGCCGTCGTGTTAAACGAATGTCAGGATACTTTATGACGTTCATTTAAATGGAATCCGTAAGGTGCAGGATATAATAAACGTAACCACAAGAGTATATATAATATCTGAACTGGGGAAATTTTTGATATAATTCACTGCATATTATAATATAATGCTATGATGAATGTGTATTTGAATACGTCTTATACATCACTCTCGTACTTAAACAATAAATATATATACACATATATGGAATTAGAATATAATAATAATATATACTTTATACATACACAATAGTAATAAACGTTTACCTTATATGCGTGTGCATATAATAATATACCACGAATAAGTATGTACGCTCAATGCGTATGGATCTCAACAAGTTACTGTTCAGCGATCTTTTTAAAAATATATGTAAGTAGTTTTAAATTGAAAGAAGCATTTAATAAATTATGATTAAAAAATGTGTCCATGCATTTGTGTGCATGTAACACGTGTAAAAAAAATTAGTAAGTAATTTTCGATCATATTGAAGCTGTTTTAAAATACTGCATGAGGGATAAAAAAAATATAATTTAAACATTAATTAATGATTGGATACATCGCCTGATAAAATTTAATATGAACCTATTACAATTCAATAAAACCAAAATTGTTATCACATTCAATAGTAATGTGAATTTTATCATAAATATAAACTATTAGAAATAAAATACTGTTAAGTCAAATTAAATCGAACCTTCTAAAAACTCAAAAACTCAAATTTATTTTTATCGCTCTTGAAAACATATAAATAAATATTTTTCGATTAAAAAATGTTAAGTAATAAATAATATCTTGAAGCTCTTTTTTATCTACCTTAAAAATTGAATTATAACGGAAACTAAACTGTGCTTAGGAAATGTACCAATACAAAATAAGCAATAAATTCTATTTATTTTTAAGGAGGGTCTTCAAAACCAAATAACTCACATTTTAGGAAATTATATATTATTTGCTTATGTATACAAGTGATAAATACATACATATTATAAACAATAAAAGTTCTATAATATAATATTATATATTAATCGTCAAATTAAAATAGAAATTAAACTGGATTTTATTTAGTTTTATAAATATTTTTTGTAATTTTTTAGATTTTTTATTTTCAATTGAATAATTAATCGTTGTTTAAATTATTTCAACAATGGTTAAATTTTAATACGTTTTGTACATTTTTCATATTTTCAGGAAACTAAAGTAAAATATATAAAAATTTTAAAGCTTGTAAAATGTATATTGTTCTAAAAAAATATATATTTGCGCATAAAATAAACATTTAAAAGATGAACGGTTTTATGAACTGAGTGTGTATACCAGAAAGAAAATATCACTCCCTCGGCGCTCGCCGACGGCAAAAGATTTGTAATATTGGTTTGTATCTTTTGCCAAAAAAAAAAAAAAATAATATTTACTTAAATAAATAAATAAATAAAATTGCAAGACACTATTTTATTTTTAAAAAGTCTTGAAAAAACGTAAAAAAAATTATATACCTAACTGTTTTATTTTTGATAGCTAGGAAATTCATTTAAAGTATACATTTGAAATAGGTATCATCGTTATTAAATTTTATATTATTGTTTGTAATCATAAATTTGTTTAATAACAGTATAAAATTATTATAATTAATAATAATTCAAAGAAAGAAAAACTTAATATTTGCACTTACAACATCTATTTTATCTTATGATAACTATATTTAATTAAAAATGTATATTTTATTTATGTTTAATATAATACGAGTATATACAGTGTATATTATAATATGTTTTAGTTTTACACCATCAAAGAAAATCTAAGTAAAACTTAGAACTATATTATTAGTAAATATCTAAATTTAACTGCCTAATTATTTTAACCAATTATTTATCTTGGTAAATTCTAAAATAAACAAATTAATTTTGTTATAGTTCAAGCAATTATATTAGCATGCAATAATAATTATGATAATGATATTTTTATATTACAATAATTTTATATTTTTGTTTTTTAATATTATGTTTAAATTTTATTTATGAGTATTATTATAATTATTATTTTCATAGATAGTTTAATGTTTATATTTTTTTAACAGGTTAAATTCAAACAATATTTAAGGAAATCTATAAATTTATATTTATTAATAAAATAAAATTAGAACAATGTTAGACACCAAATGAATTTGTATGATGTCTTAGAATTTATCAAGATCAATCAATAAAGGTCTAAAATTTGGTCATTTTACTACAGTATTTGCGGTCTTACCCATAAAACCTAGGCAATTATATATATATATATATATATATATATATATATGTGTATATGTTATGGTAAAAGTAAAAATATCTGAAAATATATGTAATATTTGTACTACGTACGCATTTGGGTACAATAATATTGTTTTATATCAAGAAATAAAAATCTAATAAAATATATACGAAAATATAACATGTTATACGATTTTAATCGTTTAAAAAAGAAATGAAATTATTAATATGTTATGTGCATGCAATAAAAATGTCGTATTATTATAATACAGGATTGCATAAACCGATGTTATTTGTAATCTACAGCAACTGATAAATAAGTACATAGCATATATTATTTTATATACAGTATACATCGGGGGCAATAATTGAATGCATCCAATAAATTGTCCACCGAGAATAATGGACATGGACAATGGGGAAATATATTCACGACACTTGGCCGTTGTTATTCGACGGCGACGATTGTGTCTTGATAAATTACCCTTTACAAATATGTATAATAATATTAATGAAAAAAAATATATACATATTACATATACATTTTACACAGTCGTGTAAGTATCACACAGGGTGGATAGAATGGACAAAAAAATCACACCCCACTTACCGTTCAGTTCCAAACACTCTAACGACGGTTGCTTAAGACCCGAAAGCGACGAGACTCTGTTAGAGTTTAGGGTCAAAACCTGTAAAAAAAAAAAAAAATAAAAATAATATTATACAACACTATTGTTATTTATTAAGATAAAAAATGAAAAAAACATTATTAATGATAAGAATATGTCGGAGTGCCAGTAATGGTGTTATACATGTCATAACACTTTATCCTCCCACGGAGGAGTCGATTATTTCGTACAATATTATATTATATTTTATACCTGTAGATACGGCATTGGAGACAGACAAAGTGAATCGACGTTGTTATGATCGGCCCGTACCACGACCACATACTCCAACTCTCTGAGCACGTCCAAAGCGTTCAAGTCCAAGTTATTGTGCGACACGTTTATAAAAGACAAATATTTAAAATTTGTGATTTCCTCAATGTTCGTGAGACTTCTAAAATTATTGAAACAAGATATGTTAAATTATAGTGTTATTGTTGTCACAAAATTGTGTAACACCGAATGTATACATAATTTATACATAGTAAAATGCATAATATTATAATTCATTTTAAAGATAAAGCCAATTATATTATTATTTTGCATTGCTCAGGTACACACTGATAATTATATAGAGTGTCATTAAAGCGTGTTCGTATTTTTTTTTCAGCGCCATACTTCATAAATATACCACGTTAAGTATATTATATGAATTTGTTAAACTAATTTAGAGTAATTGAATCATTAGTTCTATTTTATCAAAAACTGTATTTATTATTTAAATGAATAAATTATAATTTATATTAAAAAAATAAACAAATGGATTGAATACGTATATATATATGTGTGTGTGTGTGTGTGTGTAAATCTATAATATAATAATATATAGCTTCCACATATATGTATACGTACGATGATGCGTCAATCGTTGCTCATGTTACTTGCCTCCAGTTTTTTTAAATAAATACTAAAAGCATAAAAAGCTCTGTGATTCCATTAATAGGCGCACAGACGTGATTTAATATTGATAATAATGATTAAAACGATCACGTGATAATATGATACGTAGGTATTACAAATATTTATAGTATAGATAAGTACTTAAAATGTAAATATTATAAGTGTACTACTCATTAGTGATAATTATTGTTGCTACGCAAATCAAATTAAATTACAAACTAAAGTAGAACATCTTCATCGCTGGCTTTCGATGACTTGGTTATTTTTATTCGTAACTAATTAACTCAATAATTTCAAAGTGCACCTCACCTATGGTCGACATCGATTTGAACAAATGCGTAAGTTAATCCCGCCCCTACTTGGCCGATACGATTCAGACATTTTCTGGCCTCGGCGGCGGTTAACGAAATTTCGGGAAATGCATCCTCTTCCAAAATAGATTTTGACCGTTGTGGATACTAGAAAATTAAACGATATTTACCTTAAACCATAATCAGTTGTTTTTATAATAACGTGCGTGTAATTGTATTATATTATTTTTGTTTATATTAAATATGTAAGGATACACACTTGCGCCTTTTTATTCTTGCAGAATTCAAATTCTTCTTCGCAATCTTCGGGATATACGTATGCTTCTTCGTTATCGATCTCATAATAATTATTGTTGATTAATGCATTGGTATATACATTTTCGTCCATGACCGCTAATTCGCTACGAACGGTGTCACTTTTCAATTTGGTGCGATCGATTTGTTCGTGTAAAGTTGTAGTGATCTATAGAAAAACCATTAAATTCATTATCACATCTTATACGAAATTATACGTATAGCGTATATAGAGCATACTGTAATCATATTATCATAATAATAAGATTTGGAAACTATTGGAGTGATATCGAAGATGTGTAGGTAATGTTTAATTACACAACGCGTAGGTTAGGTTTTTTTAGGTAAAGTTTGGATTTTATTCCACTTACACTTTTATCGTTCATTATGACAATAAGTATAACTATTGAAGTGATACTGGAAAAACAATTTTTCCAAAGTGAGTTGTTCTAACAATATTGCAAGAATGACACTACAAATATAATAATGCAATGAACCGTGTATCTATTATATTCTGTAAATAACATAACCGGCAAACGATCCATGTTTTATGAAGAAATATGTTTCCATCCCATGGTTACTGCGTAACGCCATAACAGCAATTACATTTTAAGAAATACTAGATTTGTCGACACAATCAATTAAAATGTGTTTCGTGAGTCTGGTTAGGTACCGTATTTTTTATTTTTTTATTTATTTTTTTTTTTTATCGCCATCACAAGTAACCGAAATAGAAACGAAATATGATGAAGGGATGTGGGTCGTTGGTCTTGCTCAACCCTTTCCTGGATAGTGAATGTCAGGGGGAAAGGATTTCGAAAACGGGGAGTTATATTTTTAAAATTTATTACTAGAGGAAGAAAGTATACAGAAACACGATACGTGACGGTGTCGTGTACTAAAAAATATGACGTTTTTCCATATTGCAACTACTAATGCCAGATGCACTTCTTCACGTTCACGAGTGCGTGTCGTCTAGTTATGGATTTTTTTTTTAATTGAAACTTTTACTCCGCTCGCAATGATCAAGATGTAAACTCTTTTAAGATACTAATAATATAATATTTAAATATAATTAAATAATATACATCATAATATATTTGACATAAATAATGCCAACAAAATGTCACACAATTTTATCATTTAAATGTATATGTATATTCACTTCATATGATTAACTAATCATATATGTATTATTATTAATTTTGATCTTTTTTTTTTATTCTTAAAACAGATATACTATCTTTATTTAATACGAAATAAGTGTGTGCGGAATAATGGATAAATTATATAACACGTAAAAAAATATATTTATTTCAATGATTAATCATTTTTTATTAATGACATTCATAAAATAGTTTTTTTTAATTTACGCATATTATAATATTTAATATGAAAATGCGTAGATAGTCTAATACAAAGGTAGGATACGTATATTATTTTTATGTACCTAAAATGATTTTGTGTATTGCTATAATTTACACTTACTGATATTTTTTTTATTGACAAAATGATACATTTAGTATTTTAGTCGATAATATAATATTTATATTATATTATTATATTTGATTTTTGACTATATTGATGAACTATAACCAAAAAATCTGTACCAATTTTATACACTGATTTACCCTAGTGAATATTATATAGTATGTTCACAATACATAATAATAATATGTACTTCAAAAACGATTTGATAAACCCATACAAAATACATTACATAATTTTATGTTTTATAATTTTTTTTTCAATTGATATAAATAATTAAAGTTTTCTTTACTTTGTTTGGAAAATTTTTATTTTAATAAATTAAACTACAGTAATATTTTTCACTTTACAAATTAACGCACGACATATTAAACATCACATAAAACGTATATTGCGGCAATTACAAGCATATAAACGTTAAACAACGATAAAGGAAGATTACATACTCGAAGTATTATACCTATATAGAAATGATAATATTATATTGACAAGCTCGACGGTGCGCGATTATTTCATTATTGTTATTTCATACTACCTACAAGAAATAAAATCGAAAAACCCTTTTTTTATGGATGTCAATAATGTACGTCGTATGTAAGGTGAGAGATAATTGGATTTTAGATTTGCAGTAAAAAACATTTTACATGATGGCGAAGAATGGATATTCGCATGAAATTGCTGTCTAGACGCAAACGACTTGGAAGCGCTTCAATTGTAAATCATATAGCACTCGGACAATCAAAATCGTGCAAAAACGATAAAAATAAAGAAGAATTAATACATTAAAAAAAAAAAAAAAAAAAAATGAACCGAAGAGAATACGAGAAGAAACGACTGGTCCGTGAAAATTATTTCCGAGAGTGAAACAATTTTGTGTTTATTTAAATTAAGATTTTAATTTCAGATAGTATGTCTTTACATAGAAAACAGAGCCGCACGCTATCGCTACCACGGATGATGTGATGGCACGGCCCACAAACATGACTTGGCTGTTTTTGCCAGAAAAATACTTGTCCCGGGCCTGATCACTATGTACAGCAAACGTGCGTGTACCTACGACGATTTTCATTGTATGGAAAAATATTAAAACGATTTTATCAATCATAACCGAGAATTCTATTTTATATCCACAATCGAGGTAGGTTGGTATTTATTAAATAAATTATTATTATTATATATTCCACAGCCAAATGAATAATTTATAATAGAAATTGTAAAATAGGTATCAATAAAACATGTACACAATATAATATTATGTATATACCTGAAGGAGTGTTCCAGGACATTCTAAAAGACGTCATATTATTATAACAAGTTGTTAAAAATATTATACCTACAACAATAATTATATAGTATTATTGACTATACCCGAATTGGTTCCTGATACTTTATGCGGTACACATCCGATTTTCGTTGGTTGCCACTAGAATTTAAGTTTTAAACAAATATAAATTTAATTTTTATTAAGAAAAAAAAGGTGGAATTCAATTCGGAAATTTATTTATGAATTTCAACTCAGGTTATCTTATAATATTTTTCATCGTGTATGGGTTCATAATAAAAATAAAAATACAAATTATAACGAGTGAGAAAGGAATGAAGTAATATTATGTATTTATTGTCGAGCGATTGAAAACACTGGAATTAACAATTTCTCTAATAGGAGGGTAAATAACTCGAAAGAATCTAGATTGCACTATTATTATTATCGTTTTTGGTTTACATGATATAATATTATTTTGTGAAATGTTATCATACATCAAGTTATCTGCATGATTAACACGTTGTATTAGACGTATAGATATAATAAAATTGCATAACGCGTATTAAAAGCGTTCATTATAATTTTAAATTAATAAATACATATAAAAATGACAATAATGATAATAGGTAATAAAAAAGCCGATTGATATTTATTCCAATTTAGGATTTAATTTCAATAATCGCAGTGAATATCTATATAGAAAATACAATCGTGATTGATATAGGATAAACATATTATTATTTTTTTTTTTACTTCCTTGAAACAAGTTTTAATGTTAAACTGACATTAGATGTAAACATAACCATCAACTTGCAAGTATATTATGTATAATCTATAAGTGGCTATACGCTTAGTCGCTCAGTGCTTCAATTTAATTCACAGAAAAATTAAGCTAAGTTCTAACAGTGGAATTTGGAGAGTCTGTATACATGAAATCAGGTTTATATTTGGATAAATATTTATTCACAAATAAAACCTAGTTTATTTCTTACATAATTCTACAGTAAAAATACAAATAGTAGCGGACAATGTATCTTTTTTAAATTTACATAATCATAATAATTCAAGAATTTTTTGATTAGAAATAAGTTTTTGATACAAAACATTTACGCGAAGATAATTAATTATTGAAATTATTATTCTTGTTATGTACTAACTTCTAAAAATGTTTATAGCCGAATATTTTGGCTTAAAATAAGGTTTTACTTCAGAAATAATAAATTTAGAATATACCTTCATGAAACTATTATGTTCGTAACAAAATAATAATATAAATTATGTAAGTCATTAAAATATATATAAAAATATGCGACATGTAAATATTAAATATTACACCCAATTCACATGTAGCCGGTACATAATACATGTCATCGATCAATTTAGTCTTAACGACTCAACTTTCACCTTTTAAGAAAGCTTATCTGAATTCAAAATGCATTTATTTCAGTGTTTAGGTATTCCGATATTCATACATCATATTATTATCTTTTCATTAATTGTGGTTTAAGTACATAAGTATAATATTTGATGTCAAAATCAAAACTTGATTACGGTGGACCCGAGATAAATATAATGAATGGTGGATCGACTGTCTCTCCTCACTCTTTTTTTATTGTTATAAAGCTCCATAGTTTACTCATAAAATTCGTACAAGAGCGTTTAAGACTAAAATATAAAAGATAGGCATAATTATATAATTAACAAGGAAATTATATTTAGACATTAATAAATAAGTTTATTAGGATACTATTATAGTCTATTATAATTATCAAATCTATGTAGTAAAATAATTTTATGTAAATATTAACGATATTTAGTGGAATTTGTATTAATCCTAGATCTTAATACAATATTAATGCTCATATATTTATTTGTGTAACAATAGAAAATATTAATAGCTTTATAGTTACGCACATATTTTTAAACTAAGTTCGTCGTATATGAATACTCGACAATTTGTACTACGAGTAAATTTTAAAACACTATTGATGTCCTACAGAAAAAATGAGTTCCACTTATGTTTTTAATGCTTGCAGCTATATTTAAAAACTAATAAATACAATAAAAAAAGTGGTAACGATTTACAATTTGCACTCGTCAGTCGTCGGGATCGGACTGGAAAGACAATCACATTGTATCAGCAGCTGTGTATTGAAACAAAGACCACGATCCAAAAAATAATATTAATAGTTTTCAATGAAGCCACAAACTCAAAACCAGTCGTTTTTCGTTGATACACGTTTGTTTTAATCTTGAACCTTGAACGCTTTGTTGCATTCGTATAGATCAAACGTGAGATTGATAGTCTAAAACAGAACATAATGTATACATTACTATTGGTG